TCTCACTGACATGTCTGTGGGACAAAGAATACATCATTAAAATTTGACTGTTTGACAAAGTTTCTTTTGCTGGAAAGAAAAAAGAAAAAGTGCCTAAATTTAAAATGTTTATTTTTTTGGTGTAAGCATATGCTTCTTTTTTTCCTGCAGATATTATGAAGAAAGAGGTCTGTCTTATCTCATCTCTAGCAAATGCCAAATTTCCTACAGCTTTTCAAGAAGCTTCAAGGCCTATATATCTCTTCTAGAAATGCACATGAAAATTGGAGGAGCCATCACTGCTATAATATCAGAATATAACACAGAAAATTGTCTGTGTTTTTCATAAAATCTGTCAAGACACAAGATGAAAAAACATAAATGAACTGTCAGGAGGTCATGACAGGATTGTCTTCCTAAAAGAAAACTTAGTTTGACAGCACAAGCATTTTAGTTGAGCTCAGGACAGCTCTTCTGAAGTGATTGTCTCCATTTAGTTCGCATGGCAAACTATTCTTGAACTGCATCAACTTGATTTCTTTAGATACAACTAAGCCAGAAAGGTTGCTTTGTAAGCAAACCTAAAATTTCCTACTACTTCTGGGTATTCATTCTGTGGGATGAGACTAGAAGCACTCCAAAAAAAAAACCCACCAAAAAAACCTACCAAAAAAACCCCACAAGAAAACACACACACACACACCAAAAAAAGTGTATAGTAATGCTATGCTAGTAGGATGTTTATTTCTTTCTTTCATTTCCTAAGACAGGTGGTAGGGAATCTCCATTCTCAGAGATTCTTAAAATAACTATACAAGTTACTTAGCAACCTGTTTTATATGGATCTGCTTTGAGCAGGCTGTTGAAATAGGTGAACTCCAGAGGTCCCTTCAAATCTAAGGAATCTCTCATTCTTTAATTTACCCTACAAAATAAGTGCTATTGGTTTGTTCTGCTTGCCAGTGTAGAAGTAGGCCAAGTTGTCCTGAAGGGATTCACTGTGTGCTGGCAGAAGCTGTATATTTCATCACAAGAATGATCTTGTCTAAATTATAG